CATCCCAGACACCCTTAAAGAACTACATAGCAGTTTGACAGGAGTCCATTTCTGAATAATGAAGATTTTACAAAGAGTGCTTTTACTGGAGTAAAGCAAAGGCTGATGTGCAAAACATGTGCCAATCTTGTGATGGCTGTGTGGGTCGGAAAGATCCAAAGACACGCAGCTGAGGGAAGCTGTGACATTACAATTTAAGAGTGCCTTTTGAATGCATCACTTTTGAAATCCTTGGACCTCTGCGATGATCTGCTGATAGCAACAAATACATCCTCGTTGTCACTCATTACTTTACAAAATGGCCTGAAGCGTACCCTATCTCTGATCAAGAGGCTCATAGTAGCAGATGATTTCCAAGTTTGTAGAGCCTCTTCAGTTACATACCGATCAAAGGAAGAAATTTTATCTCGGCCGTAATTAAGGAACTCTGCAAACTGCTTAGCATAGACATAACCCAAAAAGACACTTTTACATCCAGTCAGATGGCATGATACAGAGGTTTATTCAAACCATACTCAACCTCTCGCTGATGGTTTCCAGAAACCAACAGGAACTGGGACCAGATGTTACCTTTGTTCTTACTGGTCTATCACACCTAATCACACCTATCACAATCTGTCCCTGAGACTAACATCTGTTTCCCATTTCAGATGGTCTTCAATCGTGACCTTCATCTGCCTTGAGATCTGTTGTTTGGTTGCCCTTTGGACGTGCCTTGATCACCTGAGGAATACATTCAAGATCTCTAGGCAAGGTTTGAAGTGAATGCAATGCTTTGCACGAGCGAGTCAACTTGCCAATGAAGAACCAATTCAATGGAAAGGACTTTTTCCTTAATGACAGTCACCCTGGTATGCTCTTTACACAGTCCTAAACAGGCTGAAAATCAATCTATAAGTCAGTAGTTTGGATCTTTAAGTCATAAAATTCTAAACCTAAACTTGCTCATTCTAACAGGCTAGCGCTTATTATGGTCATACTATATAGTCCCCATAGTGTATATAATGCAAATAGTACAAGACAATCATCTTATATATATATAAATTTGTAAATTCAAACATTTATTTGATTTAATATCTGACATTTCTGTATTTTGGTACAGCATTGATTTTCCTTGGTTATAAGTATGTCTTACTATCCATGGATTGTACTATCCAGTATATAGAGGCAATGTTATGAATTTTGTTATATATGTAAGTAATTTTATGACAAAACATTACATACAAATCATAGTCTCTCTCATATAATGTAATATGAATTGCCTCAAGAGATGAAGCTACACTTGAAAAATAAGATTATAGTAAGCAGGCCCATTTAACCCACTCAGTACGGGCGTGTCATATATGAATCAGCAGCGAACATTACCTCACGGCCGGGTGTGTCATATTTGAATTGCCATTTAATTCACTCTATAGCCGGGTGTACCACATTTGACTTTTTAGATAGAACGTTTAATTAGTATTTTTTGTTGTCACTAGATGTAGCTGTATATCTGCTATGGGGAAATATATGGAAAGTTAAGAATGTGTACCTTCATTCCTATGCAATGTTTTTTATTTTTGGTATTTTGTTTCGGAATGAGAGGGAGATTCGTGGGTGGGTGTTGAGCAATGTAATGTCTCTTTAACTACGTCACTTGATATAAACACATGCATGTGTTCTCGATGATTTGAGGTACTTTTTATTTTTATTTTTGCGATATAGGTATTTGAACCTAGAAGAATATACACAAATGCTAATTCATTAGTGTTGAGTAACGTGATGGCTCTTACTGCATCATTTCATATAAACAAATGAACATGTTCTCAATGCTCTGGAATACTTTTTATTTTATTTTATTTTCTTATCCCCGTATAGTGGAGTAGATGTTCTATCATTAGAGACTTTTTATAACTGTTAGATTTTTCTGGCATTGAGACAAATATTTTGTATGGCTTAGCGAAAGTTTTTTTTTTTTTTTTTTTTTTTTAATGTTTTATTACTGGTGTTCTATTTTTTTAATGGCAAAACAAAAGCACTATTTGACCGTAGAAGATACACAAATGCTAAATGAGTCAAATTTGCTGATATTCTATTCCTGTGACATTTGCAACGTTGGACTTTGCTTACACCCATGTTTCAAAGAATATGATACACTGTCTCTTTTTTGAAATATTGTTTCCTTTTCATTGTTTTCACATTGAATTTTTATGAAAGACAGTTTTAATATTTTTTAATTTTAACTATGTGTTAAATAAAATATGTGATTGTTTGGATATTTTTCCATATATATTTAACTGTGGGATAAAGGAAAAAATATTATTCTAGAAAGAGTATTTTATAAAATTTTTAAGGAAACTATAACAATAAAGGTTTAAAATTAATTCTGACAACTACCTGAATGTTCTTCTCATAATGTACCAAAAATTGGAACAATTGGATGACAAATTTAATTTATATGAATTTTTTCCAAAGTTAGGCTTAGCAGCTCGAATTGCCCGTCCCCACAAGACAACATAGCCTGTTAACGCGCCATCCCAAGAGAATGCTTCGGTAGCAGAGGTGCCTGTCGTGAACGGGTTAACACTGAGGTAAATGGCTATGCACTAAGCAGGAAATGGTTTTGATGACTAATATTTGTCATCAAATTTGACAAGAAATAGCCAAAAGTAGCCAAACTTACTGATCATTGGGTGTTATTTTGGTTCAATCCCTGTATAGCTGTAATTGTTCTGATCAGACCAATTACATAACCTTAATGTAATTGTATCTAGCCTCACATATACTACTGTTATGTATTAATTGTTATTATTTTCAAGCTCTTAGTTTTGCTTACTTAATTCAGTTTTGATCAGTAATTGGAAGTTATTAATTTTTGCTTAAGTTGTTTAAAGTTGGTTGTAAGTTTAAACTGTAACTTTTGTAAACTTTAAATTTAGGTCTGGTTGCTTTAAAAGTCTTCTTATGTTGAAGTTGTTTAATTTTAATTTGAGTTTAGGGACTTAAATTTACTTGGTTTTTGTACTTTTTGTTTTTGACCCTTAAGGTTGTTTAACTTTAATTATTTTAAAGCTTTGTTGCTGCACTTTTGGTGCATTATTTTTTTAATTTAAATTAAGGGAACTTAGTTTTTACCCCTCTTTCTATTAAAGTTAATTGAATTCATATTTTCAGACTGGTGGTAAGGTAAATCAATTGTATTTGAAACTCAATCTGAATAATGAGTGTGTATACTTAATTTCTACAGAAGAAGCAATTTATATTGTGCTAACATTTTTAATGAATTTAATTGCTAAGTAATAGTTTAATTTTTAATGTCCTAAATTCGTTCATTGTGTTGAAAAACTATTTACTGTTTCTGAGAAAATTTTCACATCCAAACCGTCAGCTTGGAACTCATTCTAAGAATTCCTTATCTGGGGATTACTGCACCCCGAAATTCTTTTGCCTAAGCATTTGAACACATGTTTGATGTCTTCACCACATGTTCTGATGACTGCGCCACAAGCAGTATTGGCATAACTGGGACTCCGTTTGCTGTGACATCTCTAGTGGCGAAATGTTCTACACAGAGTTAATTTATGAGAGGAAAAGTCGTTGGATAGGAAGCTCGCAATGTTGGCAAGTACAAATGTGGCTGCGCAGTGGATGACGAGGGAAGATGGAGAAAGGAATTTTCAGATAGACTCTTTTTTTTTTTTTTTTTTTTTTTTTTTTTTTGACGGAGCTGCAGTGACAAAATGATACCTGATTCTATCCTCTGCAAGGCGGACGGCCAAGAGCTTCAGGGAAATCGGACTGACACTATGAATTGAGTCGTGCTGAATAAGAAGTCGTGGATTTGGCCTCGGGAAGGTTAGACGTACAGGACCATCCTGATGGAAAAGTTGCCTTGGATGGAAAATTGGAGCCAGACCTGGTCTTTGATGTTATCTTTCATTGATTTTATTTTTCCACTTACCTCTTTCTTTTCATTTCAACAGATATGCCGAAATCATTTGTAAGGAAGTCGAGTACACCATCCCTAGAACTAACTACAATGTATTTTCAAGATTTTGTGTGAATAGTTTCATTTTCACCAGTCAGGTTGTGGGGCCCCCACTGACAATGTCTTTAAAGGTATGTGATGTTTGTGTTTTCTTTCTAGCAGGTACTTCTCCAAAGTATATTGGCCAGCCACCTCTTACTAATAGTAATGAAAATTGTGATTATCATGACACTATCAGTAATGTAACCAAATCTCTTCCTCACCATAAATAAACGTTAGTTTGATTTTACTTACCTTGTATTATATTTAATTTTCATTAATTTACACTGGACCTTAGTCATAGAATGGGTTAAACAATCACAACACAAACCTTTTTTTGTAATTTAGAATTGTTTTATTGTTTATGTTTCACTCTGATAATTACACGTATTGCTATTTAATGTGATTGATACAGTATTGGTTGGGAAAATGTTTACTTATGTTTGCACATATTCACACATTTACCTACTACAATATAGGTATTAACATGAAAATTTTCCAATGCACAGTGATGATGTTTAGTAGTAATTAGCATATGACTATATGTTTATAGTGTTCTATAAATAATAACACTATATATGCCTTCCAGCAATTTCGAGATATACAAGGTATTGGAAATTTTTCAGCGGCCAGAGGAAAACTATATAAGATTGACAGAGCATCAGTTCTCGTTGTTTAGTTTAGAGTCGAGTTTGTAGCACTCAGAAGTCTATGTATAAACTTCGTCTTTTAGATGGATTAGTCTTTTATATGGTGTATATTTAACAGTTTTAGCAGCTTGATGTGTAACTATGATTGTTTCTATGACACTGAAAAAAGCTAGATGAGTACTTTTGCAAAAAATTCCAGAACTGTAAAGTTTTTGTTTTGAGAAAATACATTTTATCAAGCTATCATCACTTCTGTATGCGTTTAATCCATAAAAACATATATATATATATATATATATATATATTACACCATAAAAGAAAATTAAATGCTAAAGTCCACATACCTATGACTTGCAGTGTACCAAGCAACAGTAATGACTAGATTGATTACCACATCTACAGGAATAAGATCTGCTATACTTGATGATTTACAATGCATGGAACGTAAAATGCCTTTACTAGTCTGGAAGAAAAGGAAACATTATATATATATGTTAATCATATAACAGTCAAACCCTACCATAGTGAATCTGGAACCCCTCCCCCCCCACATAAAAACATGGGACTTGGGTTCCATCCAATTTCCTATAGGCTTAAATGCGTTCTATATGGCGAGTCTCGAAATAGTACATTAAAATCAGATATAACAAACTTTATGCATATCTTTAAACTTTTCTGATTTCTTCTAAAATGTTTTCTTTTTCCTGTTTTAAATGAAAAATTACTAAGCTTTTAAATCACCAGGATGTTAGGATCCATATTCCTCTGAAGTGTAAGAGAAAGAAAAACCTTTTTCACTATCATTATTTTATCTTTAGTTCTATCCCTGCACACTAAACAAAGGCTATTTGAAGCAAATGTAACAATTTTTCTTAGATAACCAAGACCAACAATAAGCATATCTTAGGACACCGTATGGGTGTCTCTGACCATTGAGTCTAGAAACTTCAATGGGTTCTCTGATTTTATTGAAGTCCCCCCCCCCCCTCCTCCAGAGTTGTGAAACAGAGCTCGGTTCAAGGTTGACGCTATGATGGAATTTTTTTTTTTTTTTTTTATTTACAAAAAATAGCAGTAAATAGATTCTTATAAGCTTGTGGTAGTCTTTTACAGAATAGAAATTTTTTATCCTTATTGGTTTATTCAGTTTCAGCACTTAAAATGCTATTGAAGTTCTGCCTTTGAAATAACAGTGAATTGTGATTTTTACAATTTTTCTTAATATTTAGGTACATTCTACAAAAGGGCTATATATATTGAGAGAAATAAATGCATATTAACTGACACTGGATACGAAATTAGTGATTAAATTATCTTTACTTTTATTATTTTACAGAGGGATGAAAGTTCATATATTCTTTTTCCCAACTCTATTTTGTACTTAGAAATTTTCAGCATCAAAAATTCATCTGCCTGTCGAGCAGTGAATGTTTGGCATTCCGTGTTGAAGAATTAATGGCAAGTCAAGCATTATTAAAAAAATACAGAAAGAATGTCACCAAACTGATATAAACTCAGAACATAGTTTATCCAAATCTACAATTGATAATGACAGGAAAAATCAAGACTCGATAATTTCTACTCTTGGAGGGAAAACTAGATACAAGGAAGACAGCCAAGTAAAATGAAGCATGGCTGAAATAGTTCAATGGTCAAAAAAGCTGTAAACTCCCATCGCCGAACAAATTCTAATTTTTAATATGTTTTTAGATGGAGATGTATAATAGGTCTAAATCCTGAATTTTAACCTAAATAATTTTATCACATAAAATCATCAATATAGGTGAAATTGAAAACATAATTGGTGGGAATAAGTAGCATTTACATATAATAATGATGCAATTGACTCTTAATATGATTTTTTAATTGAAAGCATTATTCACTTCTTTTGAGAAACATGGCACTGCTAATCAGTCTTTCTTTTTTGTGCCACTCATCAATAAATTTTTACAGCATTTTGTGAGGTAATTTTTTTCCCATTTAAATCAGATCAGATATAGCAAACCAAACTTTCAATCCCTTACAGTTCATTACAGTGGGGTTTGACTTCGACAGTGTATGATTTAGACTGTGCAACATACATTAAATTTCTTCAATAAAAATAACATGCTATTCAAAAATTCTGAATTAAAAATACACCGCATTGAAATAAAACGAATATTCCGGCTAATATGTCTTTAACAATGAAAAGATTACAATTAAAAACATTTACAATCATCACTATTAATCAATAAAATACATATAAAAATCATAACAGTATTAAAAATCTACATTATATATACACATAATGTTGATGAAGTATATGATTTTATGCACACAATTCCAAGTTTTTCAAAATAAGATATTGAATTTTATGAAAACTGTTTTGGCATTAGGAATGGCAGCTTTCTGCAAATAAAAAACATCTAATTTTATTTATGTTTAGAAAATTAAATTAATGGCATAAAGTGCAGAAAATAAAAATCAGTACCTTTATATGCAATACAGCGATTTACAAAAGACATTGAAATTCAAACATTAAAAAGCAAATTAATATCAATAACCGCAATATTGAACTCCACATGAAGTCAAGTATTTAGAAGCAATTCTTGACAACAAATTAATCTTCACATATCATACGGAATATGTTATTTCCAGAGTAATGAAGTGTTTATGCGCATTTTTGCCTTAGGAAGGAAATCTAAGTCTGCAATAGGAATTAAAATGCAAATTCATCAAACAATGATTATCCATATTCTTCTATAAGTTTCTCTGCCTTCGCTTATTAGAACTCCCAGTGATAGAAAGAAAAATTAAAGTTGTGCAGAGCAAGCTTCTCAGATCAATTCTCAATATGCTGTGATATGTAACTAATAGATACTACATTAAAAATTGATCCTACTGATTCAAAAATTATTATAAATTCACACAACTTAATTGAAAGATTGACTACCTCTTGAGATTCAGAAACTAGCCTCTGAACAAACTACGATTCAATATTACATTATGAAAGATTAAAACCATTTTTCATGATGTTGTAAGGTATATTTTAATTCTATAACAATTATTTTAATTTAATGCATCTTTCCTATCTCATCTAGCTTCAACTTACAACTCCCTACCACAATGAGTTTTTAGAATCGTGTTAAATGCAAATGAGTAGGAGAATAGATTTTAAGTCAAGTTCAACAGACTTAAGATTCATAAGTAGCACCCATCTGCCTTTGGACTACATCTCTCTAAGCTGTTACACTCGAATATATTACATGCCTTTTGATAGTGACTAATTTAACATTACAGGCCAACTACTATAGCATTATGTTAGCTTCGACTAAATCACTTAGTTAGTCATTAGTTAGTTCTTATTTCTTACATTTTGAGTTTAAGCCCAAGTGGACACTTTGCTGTCCCTAAGAAAGGGGCCAACTGTCAGTCTTATTTTGAGCAAATAAAAGGTAATTCCCCCTTCTTGAGTTTACGTTTCTGTTCTTGGACTTAAGCGATTATTTGCTTAGCATTTCAACTAAATTCCTCGAAACTTAAACTGACAGAACAAAAGTGAGGAACTCTAGAATGTTAACTGCTATACTTTGATTTTCGAACTTTCACCAAATATCTATGGACTATAAGTGTCATACTCCCCAAATTAGCCTAACACGTAATACCAAGCTTTAAATTTCTTATTCATTCTGTAAGACAAATCTTTTAAAGAGATCTGATTCTTACCTTTTGGTAGTATTTATCACTTGAAGCATTACATTACCTGAATACCTAATGAATTATTTTTAACCCGTTCACGACGGGCACCTCTGTTATCGAAGCGTTCTCTTGGGACGGCGCATTAATCGGATGCATCGTCCTGTGGGGACGGGCAATTTACGCTGCTAAGCCTAACTTTGGAAAAAAATTCGTATAAATGAAATTTGTCATCCAATTTTTCCAGTTTTGGGTACATTAGGAGAACATTCAGGTAGTCGTGAGAATTAATTTTAAGCCTTTATTATTATATTTTACTTAAAAATTTTATAAAATACTCATTCTATAATAATATAATTTTCCCCTTATCCCACAAATAAATATATATGGAAAAATATCCAAACAATCTCAGATTTTATTTAACTTAATTAAATTAATTAATTATCTTAAATTTTTAATTGTGTAACACAATACACAATTAAAATTTAAGAATAGTAAAACTGTCTTTCATGAAAATTCAATGAGCAAACAACGAAAAGTAAGCAATGTTTCAAAATGAGACAATGTATGATATTTTTTTAAACATGGTTGTACGCAAAGTCCAACGTCGCAAATGTCACAGGAAGATAATATCTGCTGCTATTTTACTCAGCAAATTTTATTCATTTAGCATTTGTATATGTTCTATGGTCAGAAAGTGCTTTTGTTTTGCCATTTAAAAAAAAAAAAAAAAAAAAAAAAAAAAAAACCTTTCACTAAGCGATACGAAATATTGGATACAAAATATTCGTCTCAATGCCAGAAAACTCAAAGAGTAATAAAAAAGTCTCTAATGATAGAACATCTACTCCACTATAAAGGATAAAAAAAAAAAAAAAAAAATAAGAAAATTAATAAACTAAATTTAAAGTATTCTAGAGAGAACATGTTCATTTGTTTATATAAAATGATGCAGTAAGAGCCATTACATTACTCAACACTAGTTTAGATACTGTTTTCGTTTGCCATTAAAAAAAGGTTTCGCTGACGATTAAAATTGCTCATCTCAAAGCACGAAAAATCTAAGAGTAATAAAAAAAAGGAAAAATATAAGAGTAATAAATAAAAATCTCTTATGATAGAACGTCTACCCCACTATATATCACAAAAATAAAAAGTACCTCAATGCAGCGAGAGCACGTGCATTTCTTTATATCAAATGACGCAGTTAAAGAGACAATACATTGCTCAGCACCCACCCACAAATCTCACTCTCATTCCGAAACAAAATACCAAAAATAAAAATCATTGCATAGGAATAAAAGGTAAACTTACTTAACTTTTGATATATTTCCCCATAACAGGCATACAGCTACATCTAGTGGCAACAAAAAATGTTAATTAAGTGTTCTATCTCAAAAGTCAAATGTACGCCTGTCCGGTAGAATTAATTAAATGGCGATTCAAATATGACACACCCAGCCGTGAGGTAATGTTCGCTGCTGATGCACATATGACACGCTCGTACTGAGCGGGTTTATGTGAAACAAATTTACAATTTGAAGCAGTTCAGCACTTATATAGCAATACCATAATTTCTATTTTAAAAAAAGTTAACTTTACATTTACAGAACCCAGAGTTATTAATTGATGTCCAAATAATATGTTCATTATGTTTTACTTAGTTAAATATATCTTATCTATATCTTAACCAGCAAAATTCACACAGCTATTTGAATGCAAATTTAAAGCCTGATGGTGCAGTGGCTAGTGCATCCCATAGCAGCACCACAGGTCCGGGGTTCGTTCCCCAGGCTGGGCAAGGTTGATCCGGCCTTTCATCCCTCAAGTGAGTCAATAAAATGAGAACCAAGTTCACATCGGGACTAAACACTGGAGGTCCTGTGGCAAGCTGACCACTTGTTCAGAGCATATGCTCACGCACCCCAGAGTCCACAGTCCAGAAAACAGATATCGGGGCGATGTTGGCCTTAACCCACTAGGACTGTTGTGCCACCGAGTTTAATTTTTAGTTATTTGAATGCAAATTTACTTATACAGATAATTTTTCTACACTTATTACCGACTGAAATTCAAAATTCTTTTATCAAATTTAAGAAGCAAGTGTAAAATATAAACTGTTCAGTTTGGTAATAAATAGTTTATTTAACAACTGGGCAAAAAACAAAACACTCACTATTCACTTTTTAGCTAGCCTCAAAAAACTTGTAATTGGAAATATCTCTGAAAATTTTCTCTGCAAATAAAGATAAGAGATTTTTTTGCCTTTGGCTTACTAAAGTATTATAAAATATTATATTGTTATATTACTTGCACTTTTTGCTCTATGAGAATGATATAAAAAGTTTGATTTCGTATCCAGAGAACTCCTTTTAGCCCCAGTCATGAAACTGTTACCATAAAATTCCGTTTCCTTATTTTTTTAAACTTTATGGCTGAAAGTGCAAGAAATAAAGCCTTTAACCACCTTTACTGGATACTTTATAAGGGCCAGGGAGGTTTAAGAGCATTCACAAATTCCCAGCACTAATTCTTTTTAACTCGATTAAAAACTTTCTTGGTTACCTCTTTATTTTTTTAACTTGAACTTTTTTAGCCCTGCTTGAAAAAAATTATAACTGTTTGTGTGTTTATTGCAGAAAGCTAAAAATTTCTGTCACAAAACCTTTAGCATAAACCCAAACCGTCTACAAAAAGTACAAAAAAGAAATGAAAAATCCATGGAATAACAACACTGATAGCAGATCATGTCCTAGTATTTGGGAAATGTTTTTATTCCCATAAGTGCATAATTTGGAATATGTAAACATTATTAAACAATTCATAAGAAATACAGTGTTCAATCATTTAAAATAAATCAAGAGTACAGTCAATTACCTTCTGTTTCAAACTACTACCAACTGATGTTCTTTAATGCCCTTTAAAACTTAGATTTTCATTTCTAATTATGTTTTTTAGCCATTTACAGCCTGTTTTTTTAATTGATTTTATTCAAGTAACCAATGAACCTCCAGATCACACTATTAGAAAATACAGGTAAATTGTTAAAAATATTTTTCTCAAATTTGCAATATGGATTATTTCCATATGGAAAGAATATTCCATTTCTGTAACTGCCCTCAGATTAACCATAATTCCAAATTCAGTGTGCTTGACTTTCCACTATTATACTGGTAAATAAGTTATTTTAATGTGGCAAAACACATGATTGTGGCAAAACACATGATTGCCTCTGTGGAGGACTTTCGACAGAAAACTGGCTCGTATTCATGTTCCGCATAGGGAAAGCCATAAAAATTAAGCACGGATCCAACCTATTTACCTAGGTTCAAAACCCGCTTTAAATACCAGTAATCAGCAGTCATGGCAACACAATCACTGGTGGGGCCCTGGTAAATCTGAAGTTGGCTATATTCATTTCGTGCACATTGATCCTTTGTGAACAAGAAAGGAATTTTGCATTTATAACTTGCTGCATATATAGGCAGCTATCTGCAACAACTCAAACTATCAATACTTTTTTTAAAGCCTAGACCTAGATATTCAGATAACAATAATTTAGTACTTATTTTCAAAATCAGTAAGATGGTTGTAATTTTTTTTATCACCCACATATCCAGCATAAAATCTAAAATTCCAGAATGAAGTTCTCCCTCACTGTAGCTTCCAAGAACAGATTTTCCTTTCTAAAAGAACAAATGTTGTTACTACAGAATTTAAATTCATGGATGTTTGTAAATACATATCTTTGTGGCATGGAAGCACTTAAAATACAGCCACGCTAGAAGCCCCTCAACAAGCTAACTGTAGGGAAAGAATGGTAGAACGCCTTTCAGAGGTTCTCCATCTAAACTGGAACAAAGCAAACTCATTAGTGTCACCTAAAATACCTTGGCCAAGGACATACACAGCTCTCTACTTTTTTGCCTTGATAAACTGATGGACATGATCTGGATTAGGAGAATGCGTCAATACTTTTTAGGTTCATATCTGTGGCATTTAACCCTCTGGCTCATCATCCCACGATTTCCACGGGCAAATCAAAAATTCCTCATCCAAAAATGCTACTCAAAAACTATAGCAAAATTTGCTCAGCCCACGATTTCTGCAGGCATATGTTTTTCTTCCTTTATTGAGGAATGGATCCCCCCCCCCCCGTTTAACCATTGAAATAAATTATATACAGTATTAGGCATTTAGTTTTTATTTTGGCCAAAATATATCGTTAGTTGTCCACTAAATTGCATCATTTGAAGACACATGGTATTAGCGTTCAAACTTCACTTTTTTCTTACAGAAATGGCTGCTAGAAAACGTTCAGCGATTATCTTAATTATTTAATTAAATCATTGAATTACTAATTAGATCTATTGATTAAATTAATAATTAGATTGATTATTAGTTAGATTTATTGAATTTGGTGCAAAGACTGTGAAGTTGGACTTTGCCTTGATCCCTGTTTTGAACTCTATCATGCTAAACTGCTTTTCTAAGGTATTTTTCCCTCAGCGCTTTAATTTTCTTAAATTTTATACATTTTACTTTTTTATATTATGCAATAAATAGAAATTAACTGTAATTTGACTGAAATTTATTTTTAAAAAAAGTTTTTTTTTTTTTTTTTTTTTTTTTTTTTTGGTTTAAAACACCTTGAAATTGGTTTTTCTGGCAACTTAGTTTCATGATAAAAATCTATATAAAAATTTTTTTCTAGAAAGAAAAAGTGCATTTTTCAATTCTCCAATATATATAGATTTAAAATATGAAAAAAAAAAATTTTGGAAGCAATTTTGGTCCACAAATTGAGCAGTTAGAGGTTTAAATTGTGCAATAAATCCCTAATAAAATTTAAGTTAAAAAATAATTACCTTTTACTATATCACAATAGAAATAATAAAGTTTCTACATTTGTCTAATACAATTAGAGATAACTTCATGTCAAAGCAGAAATTTGTATTGCATATACACAGAGAAAACAATTTATTTTCCAAAATAAAATAGTAAAATCAACACTTACAGCAACTATCAAACCAGTTGGTCCATTAAAATTGTCAACCCAACCCTAAAAGAAAAATGTAAGATTACTCTAAAATGCCTTGAACAAAAACGCAGCATGTATAGAAGAATAACATATGCTCTATTAATATATTAATTTATCACTATTCAATGATGTCAAATTTCAATATTTTGAAACTGAAATTATTTAAAAATTACAAACGTATAACAACATACTTCTACTATTAAAAATGGCTTTTATAAACACTGTCTTTCAAAAAATTAAAGAAAGAAAGAAAAAAAAAAACAGCAAGAATATAAATACAATAGCACATGCTGTTTGAAGCCTATTTAGTCAGTTTAAGTACTGAAACCATTTCAATCTTTGCCCACTGAAAGAGTTACCCAAATGTGTTGCAACTTTGAAGTTGTGACTTGGTGACAGCAGATGATACTGATTTTTAAGAAGTGGATCTGCAATATTTGTTTCAAAGAACAATGTTTTTTTGGATTCTGCTAGAAATATCCCAAGCTACTTTCTTCACTCTTAAAAACTGCTATCATTTGCAGTAATAATAAAGACTCAAGTTTTTTTTAATCTAGTGTGTCTTTTCAAAAGGTCTTTACAAACTATTAAACTACAACAGGATTATGCATTGAGCTAATATGTGTTAATAATTATTATACAAGGTGTGGCTTTTAATTTCCAAGACACCAGAACAGATGATGTGAAAAACGTAACCTCTTAATATGTTTTGAAGTAATCCCCATCTGTCATAATACACTTCTGTGCTCAGTTGTATAAGTTGCGGAAACAACTTTTAAAGTCCTCTTTCGGAAGGCTCTTCAATGTCAACGTCACATTCTTCTTGATGTCTTCAACATCTACAAAGTGTGTTCCTTTAATCATAGTTTTGAGTTTGAGAAACAAATAGAAGTTGGTGGGGACCAAGTCAGAGTATGGCAGATGGTGCAGGTTCACAACCTCATGCTTGGCAAAAAAACCTTTTCACTGGCAACGCAATGTGGAGGCAGCGTTGTCATGTAACAGAAACCACCTCCCATTTTGTCGAAAATGGGGACGTACTCTGTGAATTCTTTGTCGGAGTCGTGCAAGAACTTCTGCATAAAACTATCCTGTAACAGTAGTACGTGGTGGTACAAATTCATGATGAATAAATCCTTCACTATCAAAGAAAGCAATTAACATGTGACCTTTGATTTTTGAAATCGAATTTTTTTCTGTTTAGGGGAGCTGGGAGACTGGCATTCTGTCTGTCTCTTGGTTTCAAGGTCGTATTGATAGCACCACGATTCGTCATCCATCACTATCGAATCCAGGAAAACAGATTTAGCTTTGTTGATGAGTTCACCACATGTGTTCATTCTGACTTACTTCTAATCGCCCGATAAACAGTGCGGGACAAATATGGAACACGCCTTTGCCTTTCCCTAGGTCTTACGGCAGAATTTAATGAACCACCTCTTTGTTGATGTTCATTTCACTGGTCAGCATTTGAATAGTCAGTCGCCGATCTGCTGTTTCAAGCTTGCGAACTTTCTCAATTGTTTCAGGCGTACACATGGAAATCGGCCTCCCGGTGTGGCCGTCATCTTCAACACTTTCATCGCCGTCCCGAAAATGTCCATACCATTCAAATGTGCGGGAACAGGATAATGCTTTCTCAGCATACACTTGCTTCAACATTGCATGTGTTTCTGTCACATTTTTGCCCAGTTTAAAGCAGAATTTGATGTTCACCCTTTGTTCCATTTCAGCACTTCCACAACACCACTTTCCCAATTCAACAACAACACTTCACCAGATACATTTCCACGCGTCTTTCATAGCCAAGTTCGTGTCTACAACTCATGTAAGCTGCGGGGAGCATGTGCAGATGTACTACTTTCCAGATACCAACAGCACCTCTCTCGGGCGAGTGGTCGGTTTCATGCTGTGACGTCAGTTTTGGATATTAATAGCCACACCTTGTATTATTAGGTATTATAATATCTATTTATGCATATATAAAGAACACAGAGAGTAAAGTAATATGGTGATCAGTAGAAGACCAGAAATCTATGCATTTGAAGTTGTGCAGATTTTAGAATTTTGCGGTTTTCAGATCGTATATAAAATATTAGTACACTTAGGCAGACTTAAAATTAGGGAGATAAGTCAAAAATAAATCTTTAAAAAGCATATAAAATCAATTTCTGACTTTTGCAGAAAAAATATATATACAGTAATGTTTGTAAAAATTCCAACACCATTACGGAAATTATGCAAATTTAGCCAAACTTACAGGAAATGTAAGGTGAGGTAAGACATGCAAACGATTAGAATTACAAAGCGATTGCACATGCATGAAATGAGAACTGGCTGTTTGTTCCATGTATATAAAGGATTGTAAAGTTGCATTGAAAGCTGTTTATCATCCGTCTGCAGTGAACATTTAATTAGCAGCAATATACCTCGTCAACAGTGGAGGGTGTCATACCAACAAAACATAGAGATACCAACAACTAACACAGTTCAAATGAGGCCATGTCTTCGGTATACAAGCGGGGGGGGGACTTTCATGTTAAGCAATCACAGTCTGCACACAGCATAATGTCACAAGAGTGATGTCTGTTTGGAAGGAATGGACTGAGCAGAACCAAACAAGGTGAAATCCTGGCAGTGGAGCATGTAATAGCACAATGGCATGGGATAACAGATGCCTTATTCACATAGTTGAACAGATCATACAGCGTCCTCTTATGTGTTAGCACAAGGTTGAAGCTCAGCTATAGGTATTGTGCAGTTTAGCTTCACGGTTCATCGCCATCTGCTGCAGTATAAACTAGTGCAAGAATTCTATGCAGGACTTCCCTGTAGCTGAATCACAGACGCCTCTAGTTTCAATGGGCACAGAAACACAGTGTGCAGCATTCCCTATGGCAACATTTTGTTGTATCCGAGGGATCTCTCTACAATCTGGAGCATTGATGGAAGAGTACATGTCAGATATTACAGAGGGGAGCATCTGCTCCCACAGTGTATTATTAAGCGTCATACCACACAAATGCCTGGCATTCTGGTATGGGAAGCTATTAGGTATAATTGTTGATTCTAATTATTTAAACTTTATAGAATTCTAATTATTGTAGTTTTACTTCAGGTATTGTTACAATTTAGTAACTACGGTAAGTTTTGTTTAGTGACAGTAATAAAAGTGATAATTATCAGTATGTTGTATCTTGCTTCAACATTGAATGTGAAAAAATCTGTCTCACACACACAAAACAAAAACAAACAAAAAAAAAAATCGCAATAGTCATCTATATTCCATTGTTAATATTTGACAGTCTGCAAGGATTCAAATTATTGGCATTATTGGCAGCTTTTAAATTAGTATATTTTCAGTCTCTAGTGTACTATTTTCGAGTTTATATTGGCAAAGTTGCTCAAAACATCGAAAATGATTTTCTGCGATGAAAAGGAGGTACAAGGGATGGAAAAATTGAAAATTTAAGTTATAATAAAGCAGCACTACCTATCCAGACTATACAAGTAAAAATTTCTATTCTCATTCAACACACACAATTTGAATTACAGGGGGCTGGCTGGCTGGGGCTCTTTCTAGTTTGATACAAAACAGGACCAAACTCAATAAAATCTGCCTCCCCAAAAAAGCTTTATTTCAAATTTTGCAGCTTTTTGTGTAAGTTTTACTTCAGTTGTTTGCTGTAAAATCAGCAGTATTTTGGTCTTTCGAAGCAATTACTAATATGTAAATGGGTTAAAGGTAGTGTGCAGTTACTTACAAATTTTACCTTTAAAAACATTTTTCTTTAATGTTCATTTTCATTTTGATTCTTTAAAGAAAGTTAATGAAGAAGTTTTAAAGTAACTTATTGCATTAAAATCTTACGAAGTTATGCATCTTAAAAGGGTAACTAATTAATTAAACTTATATGCACTTCAAATTTGTCATTCAATCACTAAATAATTACATTTATATTAAGTAAAAAAAAATTTCTAATAATTTTTTTAACATATTCTCACTTCTTTTCAGGAGATAGATTTCTCTAAAAAATTCTTTCATCTAAATGGTCTACATATGAATAAGTATATATTTTACTCACAAAGAAAATATTTAAAATTATATAACTGAACCAAACTCATGTGTATTACCAATGCATTTCAAATAAACTACATAATAGTGAATCTTTAGCTGATATAAAATAATTGTAAAGTTTTTGAAAAAAAAGGGGGGGCACACAATCATAGCATAACTACAGTCAAAATTCGTTAATTTGGACACCATAATCTGGAATGATCTATAATCCGGACCTCAAACCTACAAACTTTCTGCGCATGCGTCATAGGCGTTTACGCGTGCACGTAAGACCTTTATGGCTGCGAATATGCATGTGCGCAAGCACATAATACATTTACGCATGCGCATTTAATGTATAACGGATGGTATAAGCTAAGCTGTTAATTTTGCAGATTGCGTTGTTCGTTAATCTTCGAAATGAATCCGGCTTATTATTTTTTGCAGACTGTTAGAGCAATTTTATAAAAGTAAGCTTGAACTTTCGATTATGTCAAATAGAAATTCCGATATGTATTTACTAATATGTAAAGGATCTACAAAGCGAAAGTAGGTTTTGAAATCCCAAATATCAATTTTCTTCTTGCAAGCAGGAGGAGGGGAGAAGCGCTGCGGCGCGCAATAAATTGGAAGTTGATGATCTGTCAGCACTATCCTTATCTTCAGGGCAGATGTTGTTTTTATTTATTTGGCTTATAATTCCTTACTAAATGTAGTATTTCAATCTCAATGTACTCCGTCATTGATATGATTTAAATCAAGTTCCTCGTCATTATAATTCGCTTCCGATAGTGAAGAAAGTGACAGAGAGGTTATTGAAAACAAAAACATTTCGATTGACAAATTAGTCGGTATTCTCGATACAGCAATTATAGGACTTGAACAGCAGAACTTTGTAACTAAACAAGAAATTATGTCTGTTAACAGAATTAAAGAGAAAGTATTATCACATGAAACAAAGCAACTTAAACAACTTACATTGAAAGAAATGTTTAATAAAGTAAACAAATAAATATTAAGCTTTTTCTTTTTGTAAATTTTAATACCCTTTAGATCATAATTGTTTTCTTTATTTCATAAATTATGGTTCATATTTTTAATTTTGTAATTTCTGCATGCCATCTAACCAGATTTAAACTGATGATCTATAATCCGGAAAAATCGATTATCCGGAATCGCCGAAGTCCCGACGAGTCCGGTTTAACAATTTTTGACTGTATTATAAGCTGGACAAAAACATATACATAATTTACATTTTATAATTATATCTAATTATACTTCAAAATAATGCATTCTAAATACGTAACTTTTTTAATAATGAAATTAAGAGAATCAGTCATACCGGATAGGGTTCCTTCCACGCAGCAGTTACAATTGATGGCCGAACAATAGCTACAGGAAGTGCCCCACTCTCTTCAACCAATAGAGTTTCTGCTAATGCTTTTGTGTATGTATAAGTATTAGGTCTGCCCCTTATCAAATGAGGTGTTAAAACTCCCACCAAATCTTCATCCATCCATCTGCAATAATAAAATATTAAATATACTGGATGTAAAACTCCTTCTATATATATATATATATATATTTAAAAAATAATGATATTTTATGTATTAATTAATCAATCTAGTTATTTTTTCACGAAATTACCAAACTTAATTATTACTATCCAGACCTCATTTCATTAATCAGTTTCTGAAATGCAAATAATGGGAAAATCTTATCCAGTTGCATGCCAAGGACTTAACAGAAAGTTTTTCCCTTCACAAACTTCTTTAACAGAGTTCAGTTTCAATGTTTCAAGTCAAAACAGTTTTTTATAATACTGGAAAAAATTTGATTTCTATAGAAAAGAAGCAATAAAAAGAAAGAGCATCTACAGCTTTAGGAATCCATTTTATTCCATGTTTACAAGAAGCTTCCTACTCATTTCAAACGCATGAACTTTCAAGGATTCACTATCTCCTTCTATCAGAATTCTCATTCTTTCACATAGGAACTGGAGCAATAACAAATGGCAATGACTCCACAGCATTTTGCCAAATGAACCACTTAACAGCCAAACAGTCTTCATTATCAGGATAGTAGCATAGATTAATCAGAACAGGAACTGAGCACACAGCACAAAAACTGTGAAGCACCAAACAGGAATTGAAGGCATGAAGCACTTTACTTACAGCAACATCCACTTCTATAATAAAGTTTCATACATCATTTATCAAATAATTATGGAAGTGGCAAAGAATGCTCAGTCATTAAAGACCCACATTTTCTCTTCTGGGAACAATTCAGTCTCTAAGGATATTGCTAGGAGGTAGAGACAAGGTTGCACAAAAAAATATAACAGCTTTAACTGTTTCTTAAAAATGTCTAACAAGTTTATTATTTTTATATGTGCATCTTTCATAAATCATATCTCAAAGGAAAGGCTATTTTGTACCATAAGCCTTCTAGCTGCTCAACAGTTATGGAATGCCAGAAGCAGGAACTTTCTATCAGTATTCTGGTTAATATGACGAAGAATGTAGTTTATTAATGTTTCCTAAGCAAATTTACACTGGGGGGGAAATCATAAGGTGTCAAACCTGGCAGTACAAGAGCATTGCTCATGGTTATCTTGTGCTTCTTTACCCAACCAACAGCCAAATACAATAATACATTTCTGAATTTGAGTTAATCTATGTATAAGCTATATGACTTTGTTGCAAAAAATCCGCCAATTAAATTTGCCCTACAAATTCAGCTGTATACATCACCAAAAGTGTGAGCATTTGACTGTTTAGTATGGCTAGACCTTGGACAAGCTGCCAATTCGCTTTCCTTTCCAACAATAGGCATAGGAGCACTGTTGAAAGGGTTGAATCATTAATTTCTCTTTCTTAAATCACTCAACTTTGAAGCATGCGTATTATTCGTTGTTTTTGCAATAACAAGTGAAATTTGTGATTCTCAATTCAGATAACCATCTTCATGCATTCACTCCCCTCAGCTGTGCTTGTTTTTATGAACAACACAGTCAAAAGTCGTTAATTCGGACACCCATAATCCGGAATGATCTATAATCCGGACACGTTCACGCATGCGCACAGGCGTTTACGAGAGCGCATAAGACCCTTACAGCTGCGAATATGTTTGTGCGCATGCGCGTTTAATGTGTAACGGACGAGTTATAACGCTAAGCTAAAGTTATCTAATTCAGTTAATGTTGCAGATTGCATTGTTCCTTAATCTTCGAATTGGAATCCGGCTTATTATTTTTTGCAGACTATTAGAGCAATTTTATAAAAGTAAGCTTGAACTTTCGATTATGTCAAATAGAATTTCCGATATATATTTACTACAAAGCGAAAGATGTTTTGAAATCCGAAATGTTTATCAATTTCACGCTGCTCTGCGGCAGAGAGGGGGGGGGGCAGAAAGCAGAAGAGAAACGTCATTATTAGATTATGATAAGATTAGAAAGATAATGTCGAATAGAATTTCCGATATATATTTACTAATATGTAATTTGTATCTACAAAGCGAAAGTATGTTTTGAAATCCGAAATCTGTTTATCAATTTCACGCTGCGGATTGGAAGTGATCTGTCAGCACTATCCTTATCTTCAGAGCAGATGTTTTTATTTTATTTGGTTTATAATTCCGTACTAGTGTAGTATTCATCTCGATATACGTCTTGATATGATTTAAATCAAGTTCCTCGTCATTATAATTCGCTTCGGATAGTGAAGAAAGGACCCAGAGGTTATTGAAAACGAAAACATTTCGATTGACAAATTAGTCGGTATTTCTCAACACAGCAATTATAGGACTTGAACAGCGGAACTTTGTAACTAAACAGAAATTATGTCTGTTTAATAGAATTAAAGAGAAAGTATTATCACATGAAATGAAGCAACTTACATTGAAGGAAATGTTTAATAAAGTAAACAAATAAATATTAAGCTTTTTCTTTTTGTAAATTTTGATACCCTTTAGATCATAATTGTTCTTTATTTCATAAATTACGGTTTCATATTTTTAATTTTGTAATTTCTGCATGCCATCTTACCAGATTTAAACTGATGATCTATAATCCGGAAACATCGATAATCCGGAATCGCCGAAGTCCCGACGAGTCCGGATTAACGACTTTTGACTGTATACGATTCTTCATTTTTGCTATGCATTTTTCTAGAATTTCTCAAGTAAAGGCTTCAGAGAATTGCTAGAAACTTCACAGCCAGACAATGATATAAATAAATTTCATCAATATATTAGGCTAAAACAAAATGAAAAAAATATTTCCTTAATTATTTAAATTATAATATTTTGGGGGATTATTTGTAAATAATTTTGAACTAGCCATGTAAACCAACACCCACACACTTCAGCATTAAAAAATTAGCTAAAAATTCTGGCTTTCTATATGAAAATATATAGCAGCTATTTTCAGCTAGCATACAGAACAGAAATTATATTTTTGGTTCTTTTACCTATCAGGTAATATATAAGATGTTTTTGGATTACAAGAAATAATAATTTTACAAGCAAGTAAAATGTATTCCTTTCTGAAATACTCTGTACGTTGGAGCTCATAGTTTGGAATTTTCAAAATAACTCTGCGAGTTACATAATTTTTCTCCAATATTTCCATTAGGCTTACATGCAAAAAAATGAGAAACAGAAGATTAATACAAAAGTCAAGCAGCACCTCATGTAAATGCCTCTTTTGAGCATTTCAACCCATTTCAAAATGTAAGTATCTACCATTACTTCATCATTTAATAATAACGTAAAATTGTGTATAGTAATAAATGATGTAATGATACAATTAAATATTATATCACTTTCATATGCAATTAAAAAAATTATAGGTTAAAAATATCATTGCTCTTATGTTATGATGAAGATGACAAACAAGATCTGTAAAGTTAACATATATACTTATTTCTTACAAATTACAACAAACTTTTAAGTCAGTACAATAAAGAAAAGATACAAAACTCATTAGATATTTTTTACGACATTCAGTGACTGTCTGATGTAGCTGAAACCACACATAAAATAATACAGGATTAAAAACTAGTTCTTGCTCAGCAAAACCCAATTTAAAAATCTTTATTAAGATGTCAAGAATACATTCCATAGAAACAAAATTTCTCTTGGTCTTCTAAATGTCGATACTCTATTTAGTTTACAAGTAATACTCATATATTAACTATTTAATAACTTAATCATTTGATTAATTAAATCAGTAACAGAATACGAAATAAGCTTCCTTAATAAACTGTATTAAGGAAGTATTAGTTGACACCCATTGATACCAGGGCCAATCTGAGAAGCTTGTTCCAGACTTGCTCTCAAGGGGAAGTTAACATGGCTTCGGTTTTACTTTAATGCAACTTCAGACGGCTTGATGCCAAAACATACATGCATTGCATCATTTCTTTTGCACTGATGCTAGTAGCAATCTGTTTGATGCAATTTTCAATGTAATTGCTAAACTAAAACCACAAGAAATCAAAAAACTTGATTTGTCAACCTGCACAAGACAAAAATGTATCCTATCGCAAAAAGGTGCCAATAGAATTATTGGCAGTGCATCAACAAAGATCTAAATATCATAAATTGTCCAAAAATATAAATAAACATTTGCATCATAATATTCAACACAGAAATACTTTACAATGAAGATTTAGAAATATATTTACTCAATAGTATCAACAATCTTTTGGGGAGGAACTGGTGGTGGATATACCACTTCATCAACTTGCTCCCGGTCACAGTTGCAATATGCAGTTGATACATGTATTAATGCCTAAAAAAATTACTAAATTTTACTATCCATACAAAAATTATATTAATATACAACACATGTTCTTAAAAAATACATATAGCAAATTTATGTGCACACAAACTTTTGATATCATATACTCCTGATAATGGCAAAATTATAAAAATTTCCTCCTTTCTAAACAAAGCAGTTTAAGCAGTATTTTCTGAATAAGCGGAACAAAGTTTTAGGAAATTAAGGGAAACAGTGAAATTTTACAAGCCCAAAACTTGTTAATAATGTATGTAATGTAAAGGATTCTTTGGTCTAATATGATGCCCAGGTATTTTACTTGCTTCGTCCACAGAATAATGGTATTGTTCATACTGACGCTCACACTGATACTTTTTCAAGTGAAGAGAACTGCTTCAGTCTTTTCAACGTTCATTTTTATTTTCCATTTGATAAGCCAGGACTCCACTGTATATATATGTTCTTGTAGTGACTATGTGACTTAATGCAGAGATGCATTTTGAGCTAGGATTGCAGCATTGTATGCATACATGGCTAGCGTGGTGTTAAGTAATTGTGGGATATCATTTACATCAAGTGAAAAGAGGACAGGGCCAAAGAACAAACCTTACGAGACATCTGTGAGGATTTTCCTGCATGTAGAATATGAGTTATAGCCAATAAAGAGGTATCTATCATAAGAATACGAATTAATGTTGTTAATGATGTAATCTGGGAACCCCAGAGTAATTAATTTGTAGGTAACCCCAGCAGTCATATGCGATTAAATGCTTTCACCATACTGAGAAAGAGTGCTCCAGTGGTTTTGTCATTTTGAAGTCCTTGTGCAATAAGTTCCATCACCCTGTAAAGCTGGTGAGTAGTGGAGTGATTCCTTCTGAACCCATGCTGCTGTAGGATAAAGATTTTATTATTATCTCTGAAGCTGTTAACACGATGGAGTATCACTGTCTCAGCAACTTTGCTAAGCCTGGATAGTAAGCTAATTGGACGACATGCACACGGGTCAGCTTGGTTCTTTCCAGGCTTCAAGATCAGGGTAATGATGATAGTCTTCTAATTGGTTGGGAAATGTTCGAGCTCAATCATAAGGTTGATAACTTTAGTGAAAGTGCAAATAATCTTCACACAAATTTCCTTAATTATCTTATTGCTGACATGATCCAGTCGCCGACCTTTATGATCGTTTCACTTTTTGATAGATCTAATGACCTCCAAGGGCATGACAACAGGGATGTTGTTCCTAGGTGTTCTTGAGAAAAATTGTGTATTGAGTAATGACACTATATCTTCTGTCTGTGGGTAGGACATGTTATGAGTGCAAAACTGAGATGTGTATTGGTTTGCTAGCGACTTAGCTTTCTCAGTTTTGATGTAGGTGATCTCATTAGGATCTTTATGGGGCGGAATATTTGTGTTACGTCTTTTAAACTTAGAAACAACTTTTCAGATGGAAATCATCTGCTGAAAGTGATATCTGGTCCAGTCATGCTTGTTCTTTGATAAGGGTCCTGACCTTGTGATTAAGTCTATTCATGATTCTTTTCTCATGCGAACATCATCATCTTTGCCAGGATTTTCTGAGCATGATTTCTTTTCTGTAATCAATTCTCTTATGGTACGATTTTTATATAATCTTCCTTGCTGTTTTAGTGACTGCAGAGTGTAACTTATTCGTAAATTCTTTAGTCTAATCATCCAACTCATTCCTCATATCTATGTGCAGAAAAGCATACTGAGTGTTGTCTAGAGCTTTGTTACCCTGCCCAGTTGGTAATCAGGAATCTTCCATGCAGTGTAATGTATCTATTAATGCTGATCTCTGCCATGACTGGATTGTGGTCAAAAGAAAGTTCATTCATGCTCTCAATATAAGTCAGAGCATTAATATTTTTAAAAATAAAGAAATCAATAACAGCAGGTCTGCCTCCACCACAGTGTGTTTGTTTATCCGGAGCTGCAATTAAGCCATCGGCCGATTGGGCGAGTTCGTGAATTACATTAATTTATACTACTATACATATACAGTGTCTCAAAAAAGTGATGGGACACAGTGCTTTACGAAAGGAAACTGCAATAAAATAAATTTAAAAAACACGTAAAATATTTTGTGGGTGTGTTTCATACTTAAATTTAGTAACAATTATTACATAACATACATTTTCTCAAAATATTAAAATATTAATTTAATAAAAATACAATTGTTTAGAACGGAGCAGAAAATGGCTCACTTAAGTGATGGGACGCTTACTTTTCCATCAAATATTTATCCAAAAATTTTACTTTTTAAAAGGTTTTAATATTATGTTGGATTTCTTTACTTTTAAAATGTGATTTAATCTTCTTGGGATGGATTCGACTAATTTTTTTTGTGATTTCTGGAGTGATTTTACCCCCCATTCTTCTTGAAGCACCGATTTTAATTGTTGTTTTGAAGAAATGGTGTGTTTGCGAATTCTTGTTCCCAATCTCTTGCCAAATATTCTCTATGGGATTTAATTGTGGAGATTGTGGGGATGTTTGTTATTATTCAGGACAGTTATACAGCAGCCAGAGTCTACTGTTCAAAGCACTGTGCTTGGGGTCATTGTCCTGGTAGAATTTAAAATCGTTATGAAGGTTCAATTTTCATGCTGAAGATTTCAAATTGTGATTTAAAATGTCAATATACTTGTACTGATCCATTATACTGTCAATAAAAACAAGATTACCAACTCCAGCCGATGACATACAGCCCCATACCATAACTCCTCCTCCAACATGTTTTACTGTTGGCACCAAGTTCTGTTTGCGAAATTCTTCCCTGTGTTTTCTCCACATCAAAATTCTACCGTCAGAACCAAATATATTAAATTTACTCTCATCAGCAAATATAACTTCATTCCAGTAATCAGAATTCTTATTTATGTTGGATTTTGCGAAAGCCAGTCTGAGGTTTCTATTCTTTTCACTCACGAAGAATTTTTTCCTGGCTGCTCTACCGTGATATCCAGCAAATCGAATTACTCTCTTCCAATAGTCTCAGGATTAACAATTACTCCATATAATGCTTGTAAATCAGACAGCAACTTTAGGAGCACTCATTCTTGGATTTTTTTTTAATATTTCCGAACGATAATTTTTGCTTTATTCCATTGGATAGCTTTGATGGTCGGCCGAGGTCTTCTGTTATCCTGAATCATATGATTCTTTTTATATCGTTTAATGATATTAAAAAACTGTTTGAATGACTCAGGTTAACGGGTTCAGCAGTTTCTCTAATAGAATTTCCACGTTCGATATGCAACTTAATAACTAATTTTCGAATTTCAGGCAAAGTTTCTTTTCGTTTAGCATTCATGGCAGCACAGAGCTAAAAAACACAAAAATTCCAAAACAAACTGGAGAGAAATACTGCAGACGATTTTATAAATTATTGGCAATTGCTTTAGAGTAAAAATAAATACCCCAAAAGATATTTTTATTGCTTACTTCAGACTATTTTTGTTGCATAGTACGTAGTGTCCCATCACTTAAGTGAGCCATTTTCTACTCCGTTCTAAACAATTGCATTTTTATTAAATTAATATTTTAATATTTTGAGAAAATGTATGTTATGTAATTATTGTTACTAAATTTAAGTATGAAACACACCCCCAAAAAATTTTACATGTTTTTTAAATTTATTTTATTGCAGTTTCCTTTTGTAAAGCACAAGTGTCCCATCGCTTTTTTGAGACACTGTATATATGCATTAGCTTTATACAAATAGCTACCTTACATATATATTAGCTTTATACGAATAGAGAATATTTGTTAAATTATATATATATACACATTTATAATAAAATTATAATATAACAACTACTCAGATAAACTTACACTCATATATTGCTCCAATCAATTATAATTAAAAACATATACAAAATATAAAATAGCTAATCAACAAACCTCTAAGTGAGTCATCTTGTGGCACAGTTCAACTAACCTTCGGGTACCCAAAACATTCATGTCAACTGAACGTCTACAACAAAAAATATGTTAAATGTGGAACATATAAATAAAGTTATAATCTTAATGAAGAATCTGACAGAAAAAGAAATTTAAAACAGTGCAAGTTCATAAAAAGCATCGATTATCATAATATTCATAAAATGCATTGATTTCCTTTTTCTGGTATACAAGCTGTGTATAATTGAGAAAGAAAGGAATGTTACTGAATTTCATATTTATAAATATGTAATGATAATTTAGAGAGAAACACGATTGTACACAATTGGTGCAAAAATATATATATACCTACAGTCATAGCCAATTAAACCTCTTTATTACTGACAAAACATACTTGAAGCAGATATGTACAACTCAAGTGCAACAAATGAGCACCTGTTCTTCAATGCTAACAACTGGTAATTTCCCCCCTTTTATTCTATATTTGAAGTAAGAAAGGGTCATGAAGGACAGACTGCTAGCAGGACAGAGAAGCTGAAAAGTTCTAATGGTTAATTAGTGGTTTGGTTTGCAAAATTTAAAAAAACGTTTAAAAAGTAAAAAGGGTAAAAGTCTTCTGTATCACGTAAGGTAACATGTCATGAGCATTCTACAAGAATTAGATGATAGAAATTAATTTTAAAGTCCCATACTTCGAAGATTATTATAAGCATGTTACTATTTTTAAAATAAAAAGGACAAATAAGCAAATTAACTCTTAGTTACACAGGTGGCGCACAGAGTGCTACAGTTCTTGAAAACCTTTTCATGAATTCCGAGAAAATCAAGTGACTAACACTTGCTCCCAACCTAACCTTTGTCCATTTATTCGTTTCAGAAAAGGAAGCCGTAAAATATTGAAGGTCAGAGTTTACAGTGTTTAATTTCAGGACTATTTTCGACAAGTCTCTCGTGGTGCACAAAGTGCTACATTTGTGTAACAATTTAAGTACGGTACATAGTTTGTAATCCGGAATGATCTATAATCCAGACCTCTCAAAGCCACAAACTTATGCATGCATGTTTGATGCACGTGTCTGCTACGCATGCGCGTAAAGCCAGTAAAGCGTTTACCGATGCGCTCTTCTGATAGTGAAGAAAGTGATAGAGAATGTTATTGAAAACAAAAAAATTGCAATTGACAAGTTAGTCAGTATTCTCGACACAGCAATTACAGGACTTGGACAGTGGAACTTTGTAACTGAACAAGAAATTATAGTTTGTTTACTGAATTAAAAAGAAAGTATTAGCACAAAAAAACAAAGCAACTTAAACAACTTACACTGAAAGAAATGTTTACTAAAGTAAGCAAATAAATATTAAGCTTTTTTTTTTTTTTTTTTTTTTTTTTTTTTTTTTTTTTTTGTAAATTTTGATATTCTTTAGATCATAATTGCTTTTTATTTCATAAATTACAGTTTTGTATTTTTAATAGTATAATTTCTGCATGCCATCTTATTGAATTTAAATTGATGATCTATAATCAAAATAGTAAAAACAACCTTATATTTAGCGTAGGTATAATGAAACACTCAATCGATTTCGAGGGCAGCTAAAGGTCCCTCCTCATCAGGAGAAAGAAATACCTAGAAAGAAGAAAATAAAGGAGTCACAGAAACACGTGGTCCTTATCAGCACTGCACGTGGTTATAACTAGATTTTTAATCAGAGTTGCACTGGCCGCCTACTTTTACTGAGCCAGGCTATCTGATCGAGCATGAAAAATTAGCGAAGTTAAAATAGGGAGCGAGGGGCAAATGCACCTTACGCTCAAAATCTGAACTTCAAATAATGGAAAGCAACCACTGAACGGATTTTTATAACCTCTGGTAGTACCAAACGTGAGGAGGTAACGCCATCTATCGGCAAAAATAACTGAATTAAGATAGCAGAATTTTAAAGGCATTAGGAAGGACTTGATTGGACTTCAAATCATTAACTAAACCTGCTAAATCTTTGTGAATGTGAAAAGCCTCAAGAAAATCCAATTCACCCATGGAAGAAGCCTTTTGGATAATTTTTGCAGATCCAAAATCAAAATTATGATTAAAAGTCCAACTATGATACGCTATTGAAGACTTGTTAATTTCATTTCGCCTTTTCTGACATAAGATTCATGTTCCTTGATACGAAACTTCAACGCTCTTTTGTTTGGCCAATATATCTTAAACCACACTGACACGATATACTATAAATTCCCCAAGAATTCAAGACAGAAATGCGATCTTTTAGAATCGAAGGGTGAATTTTATTAATAGGGGAGAAACCAACTTGAAAATTGAATTTCTGGAGAATCCGTGCAATTTTATAGTTAACAGAAGGATAAAATGGAAGCACGACAAGGTTATTAATATTATTTCTAACAGTGGAATGTCTTCTTTGATGGGAATCTGAAAATTTTTTAACGGCTTTATCAATAATCACGGGAGAAAATCCACGGTCAATCGCAACTGCTCTCAAATAATTAAGTTCATTGGTAAGCAAAGATTCAGAGGAACAAACTTTAAGCGCGCGGAATACATAATAGTAAAAAGAAGCCATTTTTTGCTTAACAGGGTGGCATGACTTAGCATGGGGTGGTAAACAAACTGCAAAGGGTTTATGGTACACAGTGGTGCTAAAATCAGTTTCATTTCAGATTATAATATCAAGGAAGGGGAGGGAATTGTTGGATTCAATTTCAAGAGTGAATTGGATGGCTGGATCAATTGAATTCATAATAGATAGAATCTCGGATAAATCCTCTTTATAACCGTCAAAAAGTGCGAAAGTGTCGTCAACATACTGAATCCAAAGACGAAAAGATAGTTTATCAAATAATTTCATCTCAAAATAGTGCATATAAATGTCAGCAAGTACCGGACTGAGAGGATTACCCATAGCCAATCCTTCAACTTGACGAAAATATGCATTTTGGAAAACAAAGTGGGTTTGACTTGGAGAAACTTTAGTAAGCGATACCAACTCATAAATTTCAGCATGTGTGAAGTGAAATTCCCGAAGCCTAGTCTCAAAACAATTTAGTGCTCCTTCGACCGGAACATTAGTAAACAGCGATTTGACATCAAATGAAACCATAATGGAGTGAAGTGGAGAAATATTTTTAAGTTTATCAATGACTTCAACAGAATTTTTTACAGTGGGAATATTGTTAGCAAGTAGAGGAGAAAATCTGGAAACTAAATATTTGGCCAAAGGATATGAAGCAGTACCTATGTTGGAAACAATTGGTCGAAAAGGAATACCGGTTTTGTGGACTTTTGGAAGAGCATAAAGTCTCGCACAATTAGCAATAGGTGGAATAAGTGATTTTTTCAACTGAGTTGGCAGAATGTAGAAGATTTAATGGCACTTTTTACTTTCGTGAGGTCCGAAGTTGAAGGATCTTTAGGGATCGAGCAGTATGGGCCTTCATTTATCAGTTTAGAGACTCCAGTAATATATGTGTGTATGTCCATAACAACGATCTGTCCGCCCTTATCAGCTTTAGAGATAATGATGTTAGTATCAGAATGAATTTCATGTAAGATCTCATTTTCCTTTTTGCTAAGATGATCTATAATAATTTGATGATCTATAATCCGGAAAAAACCCTAATCTGGAATCGCCGAAGTCCTGACTAGTCTAGATTACGAACTTGGTACTGTACTTGTTTTCCCACTTTGTAGTTTTTTTTTATTATATATACTATTTTATTTAATTTTTGCATGATTAGGAAGTAATATTACTGTTCATAATACTTTAGAATTATTTAATTTGTCAACCTTTCAAATTATTTACTAATATACAAAAACATAATACTTTAGAATTATTTAATTTGTCAATCTTTCAAATTATTTACTAATATACAAAAAATAAGCTGATTTTCTTATATTTCAGGTTTTCAAGGAGAAAAAATATAGTTCCCCCTGATGATTATGCGAGACTTCTTCAAGAGTTATCAGATGAATTAAGCGAATATAATGTACACTGTAAAAATTTCACTTGTAAAAATCATATGAAAGAAATAGATTATACGTGTATAAATTGTTATTATCAGAAAAATAATGAAGAATATGATGTGTCCGAATAAAAAAATATCCATAACGTAAGTTTCTTTTTCTTTTTCTTTTTCTTTTTTTTTTTTTTTTGTCAAATCTATTTTATTCCAGAATTTTCATTAACTTGCGTATAAGATATTATTTTATACATTATGAAGATTTCATTGCTTAGCATACATGCTATTTATTTAAATATTTTATTTACTAAATAATATTAAAAAAGATGCCTTTATGACCGAAATATTTACTAGCGCATTTTATGCGCCAAATGTGTAACTACATAATTTTCCCCACCTGTGTAACAAAGAGTTAAACAGCAGACTTAAAATTTCTCACTTTAATTTAATTTTGTTTTACATAATTTTTATTCAAAATGCATATATATATATATATATATATATATTTGATTTCTGTACATCTGTTGAAAAAAATACTGTGGTGATTACTGTCAATAACATTAAACGCATAAATAAACAAAAAAGAGAGAAAGAAAATCTGGAAGAATTCAGATTTTAACATTGCACCAGTGGTATGTTGCAGAGGTTTTGCTATGCTTGCAGTGAGCATCTCAAGTTACCAACATGCTCTTTGCTCTTTCACTCACTTCTACTAACGGTTTTTTTTTTTTTTTTTTTCCTAGCTTTATTTTTAAGCACTGTTTTCTTCATACTTATGCCACATGAAATTAAAAAGCAAAATCACAAAATGTTCAGAAACAGAATATTTTTAAAATTCCCGACAGAGTGCCAGAAATTGCCACATTTTATTATTATTTTTATTATTACTATTCATTACATTATTTCTGTTAAAACTAACCATTTGAGCAACAGCTGCCTAGAAGTGTTATCAGAAAACAAGTATATAATGATTTTAATAAGTACAACTAGTGTCACTTCGTAAAAATATTTAATATTTCTAATTAGATATTTCATGACTTAAATGCATTTTTATTTAAATCATTCAGGTTAAAAAACGGAAAAATACTTTTTAAGAA